CTGGTGCACTATTGCAGGGAATCAGTTAGGCAGGCCAAGACAGAGCTGGAGCTTAGGATGGCTACAACAATCAAGGACAATAAAAAGTACTTCTACAGACGCATAGCGAGTAGAAGGTGCAGAGTAACATAGGGCCCCTGCAGGACAAATCAGGACAGTTGGTGACCAATATAGGGAAAAAGGCAGAGCTCTTCAATGAGTTCTTTGCCTCAGTATTCCTAAGTACTGGCCAAGAGTTCCCCCAATTTGAACATCGATAGATGTCCGGGAGGCACTAGACTGCCAATGGTTAGTGCTGACTTAGTTAAGGAGCATTTGGAGGGGCTGGATGGGTACAAGTCAGCAGGCCCAGATGACCTCCGTTCACGGGTGCTGAAGGAATTTGCCAGCGTCATAGCTGAGCCACTGGCACGGCTGTTTGAGCACTCATGGTGCTCCAGCCAGGTCCTTGAGGACTGTAAAAGGGCCGGTTAACTTCAGGCCAGTCAGTCTTATATCTATCCTTGGGAAAACACTGGAAAAAATCATTAAAGAGCGCATTTGTGAAGGCCCAGCAAGGGAAATGATGCTGAAAGGAAACCAGCGTGGGTTCATCACGGGTAGATCTTGCCTGACAAACCTTTATAGCCTTTGACAACCAGGTAACACACTGCCTTGACACTGGAGCTGAGGCAGATGTCATCTACCTGGACTTTAAGAAGGACTTTGATCCAGTTTCGCATCTGGTCTCATAGGAAGCTAGCAGGCTGTGGAGTCAACGTTGCACAGTGACAAACTGGCTTAGGGACTGTACCCAGAGAGTGGTGGTGGATGGGTTGTTTGTGACCTGGAAGGAGGTGGGTAGTGGTGTCCCGCATGGTTTGGTCCTTAGACTGGTCTTATTTAATATCTTCATAAGTGATTTGGATGAGGGTGTGGAGAGCACCCTGTCTAAGTTTGCAGGTGACACCAAGTTATGGGGCAAAGTTAACACACCGGAGGGCAGGGAGCAGATGCAGGCTGATCTGGACAGGTTGGATCAATGGGCAGAACAAAACAGGAAGCATTCAACAAAGACAAGTGCAAGGTACTCCACCTAGGGAGGAGGAATCCCCAGCATACCTGTAGGTTGGGGGATGACTTCCTCAGTGGCTGAGAGGGATCTTAGAGTCATAGTCGACTCCAAGATGAACATGAGCCAGCAGCGTAATGAAACCATCAGCAAAGCCAGTTGCACCTTATCGTGCATTAGCAGATGAATGACCAACAGATTGAGGGAGATGATGCTCCCCCTCTATGCAGCACTGGTCAGGCCACAATTGGACTACTGTGTCCAGTTCTGGGTGCCGCACTTCAAGAGGGATGCGGAGAATCTGGAGAGGGTCCAGAGGAGGGCCACTCATATGACTAGTGGCCTCCGTTCAAGACACTACAAGGGGAGGTTGAGGGATCTGGATCTCTTCAGCCTTCACAAGAGATGCCTGAGGGGAGACCTTGTAGCAGCCTGTAAGTTTATCAAGGGAGGACAACAGAGTTGGAGATGCTCTATTTATCAGGGTACCCCCTAGGAGTAACTAGGAATAATAGGTACAAACTAGTGGAGAGTAGGTTCAGGTTAGACATTAGGAAGAATTTTTTTCACAGTAAGGGTGGCCGGAATCTGGAACGGGCTGCCAAGTGAGGTGGTACTGTCACCTAACTTGGAGGTCTTCAAGAGGAAGCTAGATAGGCACCTGGTTGGGGTCATCTGACCTTGGTCTTTTTCCTGCCTGGGGTAGGGGATCAGACACGATGACCCTTCTGGGTCCCTTCTGACTACAATCTATGAATCTGAATCACTGGAGGTGTTCAAGAAGAGGTTGGACAGCCATTGGTCAGGGGTGATCTATGTCTAATGTCTATTTTTTACTGTGGGCATTTCCCATGGTTCTGGACTTTGCTGGCTGTTCCTTTCCCCACTCCCCACCTCTTTTTTTTTTTTTGCTTCTGTATGTGTCAGAATGTGTTTAATCATTCCCAGAGGCACTGGGTGTTGGCTACAGCTAAGGGTGGGGACATGAATTGGAGTGTGCAATGACCTGTGGTGGATGGGTCACTTTTGACCTGGAGGGACATGAGCCAGTGGGGTTCCCCAGGGCATGGTCCTTGGGCCCCCACTGTTCAATATCTTCTTCAAAGGTGACTTGGATGAGGGGGTGAAAAGCACCTTGTTCAAGTTCGCAAATGACACTAAGACGTGGGGAGAAGTGAGCACGCTAGAAGAGAGGGGCAGGCTACAACTAGATCTGGACAGGTTACAGAAGTAGGCAGATGAGAATAGGATGGGTTTCAATACAGACAAGTGCAAGGTATTGCACCTGGGGAGGAAAAACCAGTAGCATACCTACAGGCTGGGGAACTCCCTTCTTGTCAGCGCAGAAGCAGAAAAGGATCTTGGAGTCGCTATTGATTCCAAGATGAACATGGGCTGCCAATGTGGGGATACAGTCAGGAAAGCTAACCGCACCTTGTGATGCATCCACAGGTGCATCACAAGCAGGTCCAAGAAGGTGATCCTCCCCCTCTGTGCGACATTGGTCAGGCTGCAGCTGGAGTACTGCATCCAGTTCTGGGCGCCGCACTTCAGGAGGGATGTGGACAACATGGAGAGGCTCCAGAGGAGGGC